TGGCAGCTTTCTTTCTTTTTCTCTCTCTCTGGTAAGCACACATGTCCTATGGCAAATTAAAATAATAATAATCATAATAATAATAATAATTAATAAATATTTTTTAAGAGAGATTTTTGTGGTAGGGCGTGTATACTCGCCAGAGATGGACAAGGTGGGAAATTACCCTGTGGGGGGTATGGCCATGCCGTTATCCCTTCTCCTCCATTTACTCAGGATTTTGGGCATGTACACACATGCACCCGGCAAGTTTTAAGCTGCCAGGTCCAGGACTTGAACCATGGTCAACTATGTGGGAATCCAGCAACCTAACCATTATGCCATGTGCTGGTTCCAATAAATAATTTTTTTAAAAAAAAGAAAGAAAGGTTGGGGACCAGCAGTTGGCATAGTCGGGCATAATGGCTGTAGTTGACCACGGTTCAAGTCCCGGACCCAGTTGCTTGAACTCATGCCAGGCGCATGTGCATGTGTGCCCAAGATCTCGAGAGGAGAATGGAGGAGAATGGATTGCGGCGTGGCCATCCCCCCTGGGGGGTTATTTCTCACTTTCTGTCTCTGTCTGTCTGGCGAGCGCATGTGCCCTGTAATAAAAACCTCTTCCAAAACAAAAGAAAGAAAGGTTATAGCAAAGTCAAATTAAAGTACAAATTTATTTTGGTACCAAAAAGAATTAAAATCCATGCATAGTTTTTTTCATAATATGCATTTCCCATGAATTTTTTGAAGACTCCTCATATAGTTGGGTGGTTTCGTATACAGTTTGACAATCTGCCTTTTGATTGAATTATTTAATCCATTCAAATTTAATATTGTTGTTGATATGTTTGAATTTTTTTCTTTTCACTTTTCATGTCTTGGGTCTTTTTTGTTTCTCTGTTCCTTCTTTACTGCTTTGTCTTTGACTATGCAGATATTTGGAAAGTTAACTAAACTCTAAGTGTTAATGTAGATTATTACAGAGATTTTTTGTTTTTGCTACCAGGCATGTGCATTTGCTGGAGACACAGAGAGAGAGAAGGAAAGTGAAAAACCACCCTTCGGAGGAGATGGCCCCACTCCTCATTCTTCTCTTGGGATTTTGGGCCCACACACACATGCGCCCAGTGTGTTTTTCAAGTTGCTGGGTCCAGGACACTAACCATGCAGTCAGCCATGTGGGATCTAGCCGCCTTAACCACCACGCCACCTGCTGGCCGCAAATGTTGTTTGCTGAGTGGGCATCACCTATGATACTGCCTGCCTGGCCTACTTCACACAGTGCTGGAGAGACCAGCAGGCAGTTTGAGAGGACTAGGGAACTGCATTTGCGTGGTACAGGCACAGACTGTTCTTCTGCAGTACCGTCTCACAGGATGAACTGGAAAAGAGAGTGAATGTGTGCTCAGATTGTGCGCTTTCTGGCCAGTAAGGTTGAAATCTGTTTACCTAAAGCCTACAACACCGTTTAAATGCTTCCTGAAGGACCAGCAGGTGGCATAGTGATTACATTGCTGGACTCCCTCATAGTTGAGTCAGTCTTTTAGATTAGATCCTGGGCAATTACAGTTTTAAACACAGTCTGGGTCCCGGACCCGGCAGCTTGAAACTCGTGCCAGGCACCTGTGCGAGTGTGCCCAAAATCCCGAGAGGAGAATGGAGGAGAAGGGATTGCGGCGTGACCATCCCCCCTGGGGGTGATTTCTCGCTTTCTTTCTTCCTGTCTTTCTGTCTCTCTCTGGCAAGCGCACATGCCCTATAGCAAAAATCTGCCCCCAAAATAAATAAGCTTCCTGAATTTTGAATTCCAGGCACCCTCCTGTGGCCGCAGCCTCCACATGAGGCTCTGCACTTACCATTGCTCTGTGAGATGTGCACCTTGCACTGGCTACATTCCTCTGCTGGTCTAGGGGCGTGGGCTGTGTACACTGGTTCCATGGGAAATGCACTGTGTGGACGACGCCCGTAAGACACACACACCTGAGCCATCTGTTAAGCCAGTCCCCGGTTGGTGTCGGGCTCCGATCTGTGCCGAGTGTGTGGGCCCACCTCCGCAGAGCTGATAGTTGCTGGGTCGGGCCCTCGTATTTCACCTGCATGTGGAAAAGCAGAAGGGGCCTTGCCTAACTGGGAACTTGGCGTTTACAGAGCAGAAGGCGTCTAAGGAAGGGGCAGCAGATGGTCAGGTAGATGTGGGCTGCAGAGGGATTTCCACGGGCGAGCAGAAGCCTTCGCAAAGCAGTTCTGCGAGAATTCAACATCGGGCAGGAATTAGATAACCTCAGCCCCTTCATGTTTGCTCAGCTGTTTTCTTCATCTGCAGTTCTCAAGCTTGACATTGCTTAGGTGTTTAAAACGGTAGTTGCCCAGGATCTAATCTAAAAGAGTGACCAACTTTCATGCTTTTATTTTAAAGCAGTAAAGCATGTTTTTTCAAAATGAAGTTTATAAAGAAATTCAGTATGTCAGGAAAGAAAGAGCTCCTGTGAATGGACAAGGTGTGAGAAATCCTTTCTTGCTGTTCTGTGAAAAACATAACATCATATTTGAGAAAAAGGAAGACAAGTCATTTCAGTGTAAGAAAATATATGATATGAAGGATTAAAAATGACCCCAGATTTTACTTCCCACTTTGACAGCTAAACGCTGTCAGTGTATACCCTCTGAACATGGCCGTGTATAAATAGGCCACGCCTCACAGGGCCGTGTGGTCTGTACGTCGTGGCACCCCCCAGGAATTCTCTGGTTGGTTGACTTCGTGGCTACACCGCAGTTTGGGTCTGGATGCTCCGTACTCAATCCCCATCCATCCCTGGGAGTCGCAGCCATTTTTCACCTTCCCAAACAACGCCACGGCGAATCAACTTTTCTATTCATCTTGGTAAACTTTCATGATTGTGTTTTTAGGATCGGTTCCTGTCTGCAGAATTTCTAGGTCAAAAGGCATGCACATTTTAAATTTTGATTTATTGCCAAGCATTTTATTAGTGCTGTCACCATTTTGATACGTTGCCAAACAGCTTAATTAACCATGAATCAGTAGTAAAAAGAGGAGGCGGCACTTGCAGGCAGTTACAGGGGAGAGGAAACGCTGCAGTTCAGTTTCAGAGCAGCTTCCTGTCTTTGTAGGGGACTGCACGGCCGAGCCGAGAGCACCTGTGACCGCGTATTTACACACGCGCGTGCACACGCACCCGTTACAGCCGAGAGCCTGTGTGCTCAGGACGGGGCGGCTTTTTCACGGGCATTGTGTCTCCGAGATGCGACGTTAGGGTTTTGTTAACCCCATCTCCTGATGGTGGAGAGGAAGGGGATGCATGGAGTCCTCGTCCTGTGAAACGTTAGGAACGAACACACGTGTTTCCTGATGCTGGTGTTGAAGATCCCTGGGACTTCCTGATCCCTTAGTGGTTGTTAATGAATTCTCCTAGTTAAAAATAACTTTAATTCATTTCAACCTCATTTTGTTTTTTATAATAGTTTGGGTTTTTTTTTTTTTTAAGCGTAAGGGGCGTGTCCTGGGATTAGAGGCATGTGCTAAGGGTCTTAATCAAAAAAAAAAATTACATATTAATATTCTAGACCTACGTAAAGAAAGCAAGCTGGAAGGGCCAGCCCATGGTATGGTGGTTAAGGTGGCTGGATCCAGCATGACCGATCCATAGTTCAAGTGCCACACCCCGGAGCCTGAGAGACACCGGCACATGTGTGTACATGCCAGAATCCCGAAAGGAGGGGTAAAAGCTGAAGAAGGGATTGTGGTGTGACCATTCCCTGTGGGGGATGCTGTCTCACTCTCCCCACCCCCTTCCTCTGGGTAGCTCATCCACGCTCTGGCCAAATTAAAAGAGAAAGAGAAACAGGAAGGAAAGCCAGAAGGAAGAAACCAACAAACTAAAGAGCTACTGGGGAAGGGATATGTAGACAAGATTTGGAAGAGTTAGAAATCCCCCTCTTTTTAATTTTTTTAAAAATTTTTTGGGATCATCAGATGGCGTGATGGTTACATCACTGGACTCCTATTTAGTTAACTGCAGTTTGAGTCCCGGACCCTGCAACTTAAAACTCATGCTGGACATGTGTGCATGCATGCCCAAAATCCTGAGAAGAAAATAGAGAAGAGATTGTGGCGTGGCCATCCCCCCAGGGGGTGATTTCTCGCTTTCTGTCTGTTTTTCCAGCAAGCGCACACGCCCTATAGCAAAAATCTCTAAAAAAAAAAAAAAATTAAAAAAAAAAAAAAAAGATTTTTGCCATAGAGCATGTGTGCTTGCTAGAGACAGAGTAAGAGAAAGTAAGAAATCAACCCGCAGCGGGAATGGCCACACACTGCAATCCCTTCTCTGTTCTCCTCTCAGGATTTTGGGCACACATACACACGCCTGGGGTGAGTCTCAAACTGCAGGTCCTGGACTCAAACTGCAGTCGGCCATATGGGAGTCTAGTGCCTTAACCACCATGCCACTTGCTGGTCCTCATGCATTTTAGCTATTCTCTTTGTTCCACACAACTAGAGTGAAAATGTTCCCTAGTAGGTTACGACGTCAATAGAATGTCATTACTATGAGTACTTGGGACTTAAGCATGAATAATCTGACCATGAGTTAATTTATTCCACACTGAACGAAAAGACTCATCCAGTGATGTCTTCTAGAAGATATTAAGTGTCGACCGTGAGTTCTACCCATTGAAAAAGACGGTGATGAAGCAGAGAAAGGTCTTCGACCGTGGGAGCTTCCTATTGGCTCACATTGTGCTTTTTTCTGTGACGTTTTCTTTTTTCTTTTTTTTTACAGTATCTGCTCAAGGTCAATGAAATCAAGATTAAAAAGGGAGTTGATTTACTTCAGAATCTGATCAAATATTTTCATGCCCAATGCAAGTAAGTGATTTCCCTTGGATGAGGTGTTACATGTGGAGCGTGTCTCTGTGTGGCTGTCTTGCAGCCGTCTAGTGAGGAGGATAAGCACACTTTTAAAGATGGGTGCTGGAAGGAACCAGCTGCTGGTGAGGGCTGTAACCTGGGCGAACCTTGGAAGCGTGTCCATGAAGGAAACCAGACACAAAGGCCAGGTCCCCGGGAAGACAGGTGCACAGAGCCTGCCTGGAAAGGGAGGCCCCTGGGCATGGGTGCGGGTAGTCTGGGGCTCCTCCCTGGGTGGGGGACATGTGCTGGGATGAGAGCTCCTCTCTGCGTACCTTTGTGAGTAAACCGAAAGCCACCCACTGCACACTTTACAAGGGCAGATCTTAGAGCTGGAGAATTCCATCTCGATGAAAAACAGAAGTAGATATACAAATGTAAAAATCTACAGTAATCATCAAATAGATTTATTTTTTGGTCTTTTGGTAGAGGTGCAAACTGTCGAAGAAGTCATGACGCATTTTTTTCTATGTGTTTCTATGCAAAAATGCACCACGACTTTTCTGACAACTCAATAGTTGGAGCCAACACATGCTCCTGGGGTGCATTTTGTTTGTTAAAAGATAAATGGGGTGTTGTTAATGCGTCGTATTAAGGGGCCAGGTGGCGGTGCAGAGCAGCACCTTGCTCTGCAGTGTTGGACCATGTGACCATCCCGGGTTCCCATCCGGGGGCCTCTCTGTGGCCTGGGCATGTGCTCGACCCTCTGATCTAAGTTGCTTCAGCTGGGGTGGATCGTGGCGTGAAGACCGTTAAGGTAGGCCTTTCCCTTTCCCTCCTTTCCCCTCCCCCATGGGAGAAATAAATAAATAAGCTTTAAAAAATTAGGAAAATACTTTCATATATTAACCGTGTAAAGCCAGCAACTGAAGAGCACAGGAAGGTGTAAGTAGAAGGGAAAGTTCCATGTTCGAGGACAACCTCAGGTACTCAGTTTGGCATTTCATGGAAGGTGCCCATTATGGAAAAACTATGCATAGGTTTAAAGTATTTTGCATCAAAATAAACTTGTACCGTAATTCCATTCTGTGTTCTTTTTGACGGCTCCCTCCATCAGCCCCTCTGCAGTCTGGCCTCATCAGCCATCTGACTATTGCTCCCTGAATTCCAGCCCCCCGAGAAACTCCAGGCACCTGGCTCCTCCCCTCATCCACCTGACTGACATTCTTCTCCTGAACACGCATTGTATGCCAGGCCCTGCAGAGGATAAAGCGATGTACAGTCCAGGAGCCAAACAAGAATCGATGCTCATGCAGCTGTTTTCAAGTATAGGAAACTAGAAGTTGGCAGGTGGTGTGGTAGCTTAAGGCTCTGGGACTCCCACAGGACCATGGTTCGAATCCTGGACCAGGTGGCTTGCTTTCTCATACTCCCTGTCTCTCTCTGTCTCTTTCTGTTCAAATTAAAAATAATAATAATAATAATAAATGAAGTTAAATAAAATAATTCTTTAAAAATAAATTCAGCATAGGAAGCTAAGAAAGGATGTCACAGCAGGGCCTAATGTAGGTAAAGATGCAGGCCAGGGCTTGCTTTTTTGTGCTTTGTTTTTGTATTCTCCAACAGCTGGAGCCTGGGCCTGGGATGGAGTAGGCACTCAGGTATTGTCCGGATGAGCTCCAGGCCCCTCTGTGTTCTGTGATCTAAAGGGTAAGAGCTAGCAGGAGTGAGGGCAGACCATTCCAGGAAGTCACAGTCTCAAGGCAGGAAAAAAGCCAGGATGGCGTGAGTGCATAGCGCGTGAAGCGGAGAATAGTGTCGAATGAAACTGGATAGAAATTAGGGACGGGGCAGCGCTGGCCGTCTTGTTTGATCTGGTCTCAATGTGTCAGGACTCTCCTGGGCAGTTTCAGACAGGGTTCCTTCGTTTGGAGCTCCATGGTGTGCAGGCACGTTTGAGGATCTGGTGGTCCAGTAAACCAGGGAATAGAGTTCTTACCCTCGTGGACTTCCAGTTCCGATGGGTGAGGCAGGTAGGAAGCTCCTAGCTCATACCTCACTGACGTTATGAGAGGTCAAGACAGGCGGAGAGAGAGTGGGTGTTGTGTTGATTGGAAGCGGCTTTGGGAGGCCACCTTACAGTGGTGAGGAAGGGACCAGATAGGACAGGTGTAGTTGGAGGCAATCGCTTGGGTCCCGGGTCCCAAGTGCAGCCTGGACGTCGTGATGGTTTGTCTGGACTGGACAGCAAGAGTGGAAGGTGTGGGCTGGCCTGGGCAGTCTGTGGAGGCCAGATCGCCACTCCTGTGTATGCACCTGTTCCTGAACAGGCCACGGTGCCGCCGCTGTTCCTTTGTACCCTGCTCCCTTCCTGGAATGTCATTCTGCTTCCTGGGTGCCGTCCCTGACTTCTGCTCTTCCCCAGAACCTGCCTCCTACAGCCCTTCTGCTTTGCGCTGTTCTGTCCGCTCTTCCTTCAGTGCTACTACAACCCCGTGTGTGTGTCCCACAGTGGCACCTTCCATGGCGTGTCTGCCGCTCACCGAACTACTGCTCTTAAGGAGGGGTCGTGCCATGTGTTTATTCAGTATCCACGCGTGTGGCACATCTATTGACCCGCATGGATTTGCAGTGGGAATTGTTCTGTCCAATTAAACCTAGCTCTGCTTTGGAATTTTTTTTTTTTTTTAAAGAGAGCTTTCTGCTGTCTGGCATGTGTGTTTGCTGGAGAGACAGAGATAGAGAGACAAAAAGAAAGAAATCACACACACCCCCAGGGGGATAGCCACGCTGCAATCCCTTCTCCTCCGTTCTCCTCTTGGGATTTTGGGCATGCACTCACACATGCCTGGCATGAGTTTCAAACCATCGGGTCCAGGACTTGAACTGTGGTCAACTACATAGGAGTCCAGCGACGTAACATTCCTGCCTCTGCTGGTCCCTGCTTTAGAATTCTTCTTTTTTTTTTAGAGGTTTTTGCCATAGTGCACGTACGCTCACCAAATAGACAGAGACAGAGAGACAGAAAGCGAGAAATCACCCCCAAGAGGGGATGGCCTCACCGCAATCCCTTCTCCTCCGTTCTCCTCTTGGGATTTTGGGCATGCACTCACACATGCCTGGCATGAGTTTCAAACCATCGGGTCCAGGACTTGAACTGTGGTCAACTACATAGGAGTCCAGCGACGTAACATTCCTGCCTCTGCTGGTCCCTGCTTTGGAATTCTTAACACAGCCTCGAGGACAGTGAGTTTTCAAAGCAGCCATGGTCAGACAGCGAAGGAGAATGTGCTGTGTGGTCTATCTTGGGCTGAAAGGGAGCTCTGAGCTCAGAGAAACTCTCTCCGAGGTGGGAGAGGCCTTGGATTTGTAGACTTTTCAAAATGTATTCTTTATGGACACCCAGAATCCTAAGTTGGTGATTAACGCAAATTACTTCTTTGGTTCTTATCATCGTAACCTGTGCGCAGCAATTTAGGAAGTGGGTCGCTTCCTTACAGATATTTTATTCTTAAGAAGAAGCTATTCTGGGATTTCCTTTTTTTCCCCCTTTTTCTTTATTTTGCCTAAACTGATCAGTTGGGTAGCAACCGGCCACTTGTGGAGACGTGAACTAGTTGGCCTTTTATGGACATGAGCTCAGTAACCTTTTAAGATGGGAGTTTTTCATTACTTTCTGTGTATGTGTGCGTGTGCACACTACATGCTCTTTAGATCAGACGAACAGCTTTAACTATTTTTATTAAATTTTACTTATTTTTTAATCTGATCAGAGAGAGACATGGAGAGAGAGAGAGATGGAAAGTGAGAAAGCAAGCCTCCAGGTCTGGGACTCGAGCCGTGGTCAACCATGTGGGAGCCTGGCACCTTAACCACGACACCACCTGCTGATTGCCAGCCTTAACTTTTTAATTTCATATTTGGGGGATGAAATGTAGAAACTGAATTTCTGGGTTGTTGGACAGAAGGAGCTTGTAGCTTGCATGCATTTCCCTGCGTGGGAGGTCTTCACGTTCCCGCATTGAGCCCTCCCAGCTTCCACTTCTCGCCCTGGCAGTGCAGTTCGGCAGAGGCGTGCCCACCCAGCCTGGGCCCCTCCACACTGCTGGTCTCTGCAGGGACTGAGCGGCCACTGGTTGGACAATAGGCTGTGGGCAGGAAGTTGGACAGCCACGTTTGGGTGTTGGTCCTTAAAACTACTTAGATAGACTTTATTTTTGCTTTGTACTCATTTTAGGTGTCCTTGAGGAATACTGTATGTTCTTCGTCTTTTAGTTCATTTAGGGGAAATGTGTATCTCTACCTCATTCATGGTATATCCTGAAAGTTTGTTTCATTGGTCATTGCTGCTGAAGGCTGAGGGTCCCATTCTCTAGTATAGTCTAGAAACAGGGCAGTGTTGGAAACAATACTCATAAAACAGAGGTGTCATATTCTGCAGGTGAGTGTCGAATGGACTTGTTCTTTGAGCGAGTAACTGCCCAGAGCCCCCATCGCTGGTGTTGTTCCATGGACTGGGAGCCCTGGGTAGGGAGGGCGGGCACTGCAGGTGCACAGTCAGCAGATGTGATGTTAGGGTACAAGACTGTGGGAGGGTACCCACAGCAGAAGAAGGTGCGGCCGCCCTGCTCGATGGGCACTTAATGGTGGCATCTTAACTGGGCATGTTGTAAACGCTTGAGAACCTGCCAGACAGCCGGGTGATGTTCAGTAGGAAGCAAAATTTGATATGGTTGATGGTAAAAGTTCTTTTTTTTTTTTTTAAGAGGTTTTTGCTATAGGGCACGTGCACTCACCAGAAAGAGAGAAACAGACAGAAAGCGAGAGATCACCCCCCAGGGGGGACGGCTACACTGCAACCCCTTCTCCTCCATTCTTCTCTTGGAATCTTGGGCACGCACGCACACACGCCTGGCATGAGTTTAAGCCACCGGGTCCGGGACTCAAACCGCAGTCAGCTACATGGGAGTTCAGTGACATAGCCTTTACGCCAGCTGGTCCTGATGCTAAAAGTTCTTTGACTGAATCTTGGAAAAGTGCTAAGGGACTTAGCTTAAGAGAAATGTGCTGGGGTCTTAGGAAGGTCACAGCGATGGCAGGCAGTGGAGCAGCAGCAGTGTTCCTGTCCTCCGGTGCACTCCTGAGGGCCAGGGCTGAGAGCACGTTGGAAGGCTCACCTGGGCTCCGCCTGCGCACACCTGGGCTCCAGGTCCATCCCCTCAGTGAGGAGAGCACAGAAAGATAAACCAGAGGTTCGGGAAGTCAGGGAGGAGGTCGCCCAGGTCGGCAGTTAAACAGGCGAGGCCCCCAAACCTCAACTCCAGATCGCTGTTACCCCTTCACGTGCGCTGCCCACGGTCACGCGGGACGCGTCAGTGATGGGAACCTGTCTCTGAGCGGCGGGCTGCCTGGCACGGCTCTCACGGTTCCTAGAGCCGTGCACCTGTGCCCGCTCCCCAAGGGCAGCCGCTAGTGTTCTTCTACTCTCTGTCCTATTCCCTCTCTTATTCCCT